TCCCTATCGTGAGCCAGAAAAATTCAGTCCATAACATCCCACCCTATCTCTCTAAGATCCATTATAATATTGTTCACCCATTTACGCCTTGGTCTTCTCAGTGCTCTCTTTCCTTCTGGCTTCCCCACCAATATCCTATATGCATTCCTCCTCTACACCATTCGTGCTACATGTCCTGCCCACCTCACCCTCCTTTAATTCACATCCCCATACAAAATAATAATATTGTTTGCATGTGACAGAGACCCGCGGCTGGAGCTTGTGAACACGATAAATCTCCGGGTGCCAGAGAGAGAGAGAGATAGAGCGTTCTTGAGGAACTTAGCGACAATAGCGCTCCCACGAACGATTCTGTTCCATGGTGTGGGTTATTTCCAATTTTAAAAATATGAGCTGGAACGAGCAGCAAGTGAACTATACCGACAGCGCGACCGCCGCTTGTCGGCGAAGTCAGTGCAAACTTTAGCGGATAGAGGGTGTCGCGTGGTCAGCGCAACGAATCCCCACGGACGTTAATTTCGGTTTTCTAAACCGGAGCCGCTTACGAGGCTGAGTGAACCCCGTCCAAGAACCACTACTTCTCAGAAAATCTCGTAGCGCCGGGAATAGAACCCGGGACATTGTATCTGTAGCCAGGAACTCTTACCACTAGAAAACAGAGGCGGTCTAATGAGCTGGAATGCTTCTGAAAATAGACTAAATATCACGGTAGAGTGGATAGCTCTCCTGCTTCAGTTTGGGATGTCCTGTGTTCGATTTACGACCCTGATACAGAGCCTCCTGGCTGATATTCTTCTAGGTCTTCCTCGTTTCCTGCATTCTGGAGGTACGTGGATCAAATCTGACGCAGGTTACCGGCTCTCACGAAATGCTTCCAATACATTTAAGTAGGCCACAACTATTATCTTCCAAACATTTATTTCTTAACCATTCATGACAATCTCTGAAACTATATAACATGTCGCGTTGAAACAGAATCGTTAAATAGCTTATGAAAAGATCGATCATACAAGAATTTATAAGAGAAAGAATTTTTGTCATATAGGTCTATGTACTTCTCGTTTAGGCAAGCCGTAACAGACACCATTACATCCCACCAACCTCTGGAAAACCAAATTATATCCGAAAATGGATCAGAATATCGATGGAAAGACGGCGTAAGGGAAGATCCAAAGGACTTAGGAATTTATAACTGGATAATTCGCACACAAGACAGAAGTAGTTGGAAGGAAATTGTTGAGCAGGCCAAAACGCTCAAGAAATGAAGCTGTCGAGCCTTATGATGAAGGATCAGAATATCCAATTACAAACGAGTGGGTCAGTAAACAATCACAAAGCTATCACGTCTTCCTTCACAACTGTCCTCACCAGTGAACGCGCACCCAAACGTTAATTGTTGTAACGACTTATTCGACCTTCATTCAGTTCTTTCATCACCAGTGGCGCACCAAAGAGAGTACCGAAGACTATTACCATAGCACAGGGACAATCTTTCGCAGCAGCAAAGCGTGTATTGTTGGGCACAAGGGGATGTGTTCAGTAATGGCCCATCAAGCGTCACCACCGAAGGACGACCACAGTTCTCGTCCACATTGACTACTGAAGGGAACATTGAACAAGTCCGCCCGCTAATTCTCAACAGTTGGTAGCCGATTATCAATGAACTGGCAAATCAATTGCAGGTTAGTCACGGTACTGTCTATGAAACCATCCGCTGCAGGCCTTGCTTCCGTAACGTTTGCACAAGGTTGGCTCCAAAACAATTCATGGAACAGCACAGGCGTAACCGTTTGCAGATTCCTAGCCGCCTTTTCAATCGGTATTATGGGAAACGCGACGCCTTAAAAGTCAAACTGTGACAGGTGTCGAAATGTTGATCCATTTCTATGAGCCACAGACAAAACGTTTTGAAGAAAGCAGTCTTCTGGGATTTGGCACCGTGTATATGTGGTGTTAACCGACGTTTCGGAGGAACGTATCGCCCCCATCTTCAGGGTTGAAGAAGTATAAGTCGCTTGCAGATTTACTTATACTTCTTCAACCCTGAAGATGGGGGCGATACGTTCCTCCGAAACGTCGGTTAACACCACATATACACGGTGCCAAATCCCAGAAGACTGCTTTCTTCAAAACGTTTTGTCTGTGGCTCATAGAAATGGATCAACATTTCGACACCTGTCACAGTTTGACTTTTAAGGCGTCGCGTTTCCCATAATACCGATTGANATGGACTCCACCCACCACTAAGCGAATTAAAAAAATCCTTGAGCGTTATCAGGAGAAGGTTGTGATTATGAACATTGCACGTTACAGTGAGACGATACGTGACAAGCTGAAACTGGCTATTCAGACTAACTTGGAAGATAACCATAACAAGTTTTTGTATGGTTGCATGACAATTCCCGGAGCTACCAGACTTTTTGAGTAGTAGAAGTAGTAGCAGTAATTTTCTGTAGCTTACGGAAGATAAGTTTCGTCGCTTCTGCTTTTTATATAGACAGGGGCATCATAATTCAACCTACGTCTATGTGGTCCTGGGTTCATGGACAGTCTATGACTATGTTAAGTCCTCATTGTCACGGCAGGGTAATGTTACGGTCATTCAGCGAGTTTTTACTGTACTGGAATTCCATTTATGTGTCACGTCAGTTTCTAGCACTGCATGCAGAATATCAATGCGTGGCTCCCAGGCACAGCGTGTTTAAGAAATGGATATCATAGGTAAGATTATAAAAAAAAAAAAAAGAAAAACAAAATTCGGATGGCGTTCTGTTATTTAATGAGAGATCAACAGAATTAATATTAATGCATTATAAATTCTGTTTGTTACACTTTAATTATATTAGTTCATTATAAACTATCAATAAAATTTGATAATATAAGGCCTTAAATTTATAAATTATAAAGAAATTATAAACTTTAATAAAGGAGCCGGGGTAGTGTAGTAGTATATCGATTGGCTACGAGCTGAAAGACTGAGGGATCGGAGTTCGAGTCTCTGTAGGGTGAAGAATTTTCTCTTCTCCAAATTGTCCAGACTGGCTCTGGGGTCCACAGAACCTCCTATCCAATGGGTACAGGGGGCTTTTTCCTCCGGGGTGTGAAGTTGACCACTCAGCTCCACCCAGTGTCGAGGTCAAGAAAATGTGGATCTATACATTCACCCCCCATACGCCTTCATGACGTAATGCTTAATGCGTTAAGCCCAGGGACAGCTTTACCTTTACCTTTTAGAACCTTTAATAAAGTTGTCAAGAATGACACTTCTTTTTATATGAAGCTCGAAAACGTTGCCTTCAGACTTCCGTTTTCGTGGAATTTTCAAACACAATAAGGAAACTAGAAGTAAACCTTCCCATCATGGAAACTCGGAGACAATTCTCGAAATCAAACAGTTTCCGACACATTGCTTTATCACCTTTCCCTCTTGGCCGTCAGTATAAGTGGTCTATTTTAACACGTTCGGAAGGTGATCCTACAACTCAGTAATTCGGAGTCAATATAAGCGGTGTCAGGCGTACGTTCAGGGTGGATAGGGGAGGGGAAGGTACTTCTGGTTGCATTTTTTTATTGCTAGTGGTGTGGGACTAAGTCCCTTGTACTGCGGCCACTTCTGGCCTATTGTACCAGCCCCAGATGATAGGTGAGGGTGATTGTGGAGCAATTGGTGAAATGAATATTGGCAGGGGAAACCGAAGTACTCGGAGCAAACCCGCTCCAGCGCCACTTTATCCACCACAAATCCCACTTGACCAGAATCGGGATAGAACCCGGGCCGCCGCGATGGGAAGCCAGCGACTAACCGCTTGAGCTATGGCGAGGCTTTCTGGATGCATACTCTGATTCAAACTGCTGTTTCAATCAACATCAAATGGGAATATTGCTGCAGAAATGGTGTGCGTTTCACATCCTCGTGAAAATATAAATTCGTGGAAGAGATAGTTCAGAAAGAATGTTTTATAACGTCTCTTTCTTTCACTCCGCCACCACAGCAGGAAGTATGGACAGGCTTCTTACAACATGGTTCGGCTCATTGTTCCATCATCAGATATTCGACTTTTTATATTCACCTGTATTCGCCTACTAGTATTCCTACATTGGATAGTATTTACATATTAATATATTGGTATGTATTGATATATAATGGCGTTATATGTAAAAATGTGGGTTTACCTCTAAGATTAAATATTAGTTGTTACAAAGTTAAATAATTAAAATTTAAATTAAAACGCATATAGAATGTTTTTTCATGTTTTGTCTGGGTGTAATAGTTGTGTGTATATGTGTCTCTTCTACCGATGTGTTTCTTTGGGGTTCTCTCTTGTCTTGTGTATGTTTTGTTGTTTTGTAGGGAGGAATAAGTTTTCTCCTTGTTTTCCTTGTATTTGTGTCTTGTATGCGATTGATGTGTTGTACAGTGTTTCAAAACTTGGCTACGAATTAAATTCAATAAAAACATTAAATGCCTCAAAAATTCCGCTTAATATGAAGGGAAAATAAGGGTAGGTAAACCGCAATAAGCCGGTCACGGTAGCCGAGCGGTCTAAGGCATGCACTGTCTTCGCTCGCTCGGAAACTGGGATCGTGGGTTGGGATCTGTTTCCTGTGAGGTACGGACTGAATTCTTATATATACAATTCTTATACGCTGCCGGTCACAGTAGCCGAGCGGTCTGAGGCATGTACTGTTTTCGCTAGCTCGGAAACCGGGATCGTGGGTTCGGATCCCACACAAGGCACGGATGTTTGGTATGTGTGCGTGTTTAGGTAGAGGCCTTGTTACGAGTTGATCGCTCGTCCAAGGAGTCCTACCGTCTGTAAAATAAACATAAAACTGAAAATCAGATACCAGGGACCAAGGGGGCTGTAGAGCCAGAGAGAAAAAAAATATACCCCAATAAAATTACTAAATAAAGATAGCGGGAAGGTATTCCCAGATGAATGTCAGAAGTTTCATGCTCCTGGCACCTTAATATATGAAATACGTATATTTGTACTTACTCAAAACAGAGTGCCCATTCACGGTGGTCCATGGCGCTGTTCTGTCATAAGGCCTGTGTAAATGGTGGTGCAGATGGTGAAGCTGGTGCAGCGGGTGGTGTGTGTGATTGTTATTATGACTGAACAGTATGTCGTCTGCATTGCTGCTGACAAGCACTCCTTTGTTCCTATTCGCAAGGCTCAAATCGGAATTTGCAAAGTTCGTTAGCCCCACGACATCCACTGTTGAAGTTGAAGACACATTGTCACCTGGGGGGGTATCGTAACCTCCCCCTCCACTTCCGGTCATATAATTTGTGAGAGTTACCTCACTAGCACTCCTAAGTTCGTTTTTCATTTTATATGATTTTGACATTGACACCATTAGTTCTCGTCCTCAAAAATGTTGATCCAGCTCCAAAAACGGAGCTACCATAAAGCACAAATAAAGAATTGGATCTAATAATAAAAAAAACCCGGTCTACAAAACCGAGATTAACGGCCGTGGGGATCTGTTGCGCTGACCATGCGACACCCTCTATCCGCAAAAGTTGGCACTAACTTCGCCAACAAGCGGCGGTCGCTCGGTCGGTATAGTTCGCTTGCGGAATACAGAACACGTAGTTTTAATTAAAAAAATAAAAATTGATTGAAGATATAAATAAATTAAAAATAATCCTACTGTCTCGCGCAATCTCACAAGGATGCTGGCTGTTTATCATAAAATTTTATTCAACATGCATCACAGTTCTTCCCGCGAATCACGGTCCACTATCTGTTCTACGTTCATTTTGTTGTTCTTCGCATTTCACTTGTCTTCACATCCACTTAATATACACGATGTGTGGAACGAACCGCAGAGATACAGAATTAACTCACTGCACGTGTCAGAAACATTACGTTCATTTGTCTGATGATAACATCGCAGCTATGGTCCAGTTTCTTCACCTGAAAAGGAAAATAGATGATTAGTACACGTATTTATGAGAATGGTATCCGTTGATTTATACGTTTATGGAACCTGGCTCAAACAGAGACTGGGGTGCGTGAGACCAAGCACCTGGGGTGAATGTTTGGACCTGAGAGAGAAAATGTAACAAAATGGAGGGAATTACACAATAATGAGTACCATACTTCATATTCTTCGTTATATATTATTATGATGATCATATATAGAAAGATCTATTAATCTATGGCTCTACAGCCCTTGAGAACCTTGCCCGTTGTTTTTAATTTGTTAATCTATAAACAGTCTTTAGGACTCCTTGGATGAGTGATCAGCCCGTAGCAAGACCACTACCTACACACAGAACAAAAAACACCGAATAAACGCACACGGACATCCATACCTCGAGTGGGATTCGAACCCACGATCACGGCTTCCGAGCGAGCGAAGACAGTACATGCCTTAGACCGCTCGGCTACTGTGACCGGCAGTGTATAAGAACAATATATAAGAATTCAGTTCGTACCTCACAGGAAACAGATCCGAACCCACGATCCCGGCTTCCGAGCGAGCGAAGACAGTACATGCCTTAGACCGCTCGGCTACCGTGACCGGCAGTGTATAAGAATAATATATAAGAATTCAGCCCGTACCTCACAGGAAACCGATCCGAACCTACGATCCCGGCTTCCGAGCGAGCGAAGACAGTACATGCCTTAGACCGCTCGGCTACTGTGACCGGCAGTGTATAAGAATAATATATAAGAATTCAGTTCGTACCTCACAGGGACATGCGCCGACCNATCATTATTATTACTGTTATTATTAGTTTCGTTATTAATATTATTATTATTGCATACTGCTCTATTTGAAAATCAAATTGTTCTTCGCTGTCACATTTTGGCTTTGCCTTTGTGCGTTTGTTTCTGTTTTCATGAACACTTTGTAACCAATATAAATTATCATTTTTTGTATTCTGTTCTTAATTATTTTTGTGTATTTCTATCTATTCGTGCTAACTTTNATTAGAAAGGCTGTAGAGGCAGGCGCTGTCGCCTTATTGGAGATAAATTGGCTTGAGGGAACCGGGAAAAGCCATGAAATATCTCAATTTGGACAGCAGGACTTCCGACCGAGATCTGAATACAAGGCCTCCCGGGATATGAAGAATGTTACATTACTATCATTATTATTACTGTTATTATTAGTTTCGTTATTAATATTATTATTATTGCATACTGCTCTATTTAAAAATCAAATTGTTCTTCGCTGTCACATTTTGGCTTTGCCTTTGTGCGTTTGTTTCTGTTTTCATGAACACTTTGTAACCAATATAAATTATCATTTTTTGTATTCTGTTCTTAATTATTTTTGTGTATTTCTATCTATTCGTGCTAACTTTGTAATTGGCCTCCGTACTGTTAAGTTTGCATATAAATAAACATGAATTGAACTGAATTGAATTATTATTAGAGGGATGGGACTAAGTCCCTTGTACTGCGGCCACTTCTGGCCTATTTTACCAGACCCAGATAATAGATGATCATTATGGAGCAATCGGTGGAACAAAGACTGGCAAGGGAAATCGAAGTACTCGGAGAAAAACCTGCCCTGGCCCTACTTTGTCCACCACAAGTCCCACATGGCCAAACCCGGGCCGCCGCGGTGGGAAACCGAGGACTAACAGCTTGAGCTATGGAACGACCAAGAATGCTACATACTTCACCGCTATGCTCGATGACAGAATGTTGTCGTTACAGTATTCGTACTGACTGAAGATGAATAGGTTTTTGACCACGTTCAAAATGACTCACATTCAGAATCGTAATTTCTATACTATAAAAAGGCAACATTTTAATTATATACACGAAGAAAGAAATTTTATAAGGTACAGTTAACAGCAATATGAAATTTCGAGAATATCGAGTAACTGTTTTTTTATTGCTAGTGGGGTGAGACTATGTCCCTTGTACTGCGGCCACTTCTGGCATATTGTACCAACCCCAGATGATAGGTGAGGGTGATTGTGGAGCAACTGGTGGAATGAAGATTGGCAGGGGAAACCGAAGTACTCGGAGAAAATCTCCCCCAGCGCCACTTTGTCCATCACAAATCCCACTTGACCACACCCGGGATCGAACCCGGGCCGCCGCGATGGGAAGCCAGCGACTAACCGCTTGAGCTATGGCGCGGCCTCGAGTAACTGTTAATGCAGCTCTGAAGGTGAACGGTCATTTTTAATGTAGGTCTGTGAAAGTCTGTGGCATTTTCCAATGGTTCTAGAAGATTCAGAAGTATTACACACGTCTTCAGTATTAACGAAGAACAATTTCAGCACCCTGCATTTTCAGTACGTTCCAAAACTCTTCATTCTGATGCTACTTCACGCAGAGACCGTCGGTTTTCCTCGCAAGTTCTGGTGCTACATAATAAAACCTGTTACGCATAATTTTCTAAGGTTTGTGAACATTTTAATACAAAACCAGGTAATTAATAGATATAAAATTGGGCAAATCTTGACAATTGTCACCTTCTGGAACGGGACACCATGCAGTCTGTACGAAACACTGGTCACGATCTAACAGAATACAACGGGTCACATCACAGACAACAGGAATCTTTCAGGTCTCGCATGGCGAACTATTCTGTGTGTCTGGAATTATTATTATTATTATTATTTATTCGTATAGTGGGGCGAGAGGGGAGTCTAGCTGGGCCCACTCGGCGCATCGGTCACTGTTTGCCCTATTGTACCTGCCCCAGGTGATTATGACGATGGAGAATTTGGTGGAATGAAGATTGGCAGGGGAAACCGAAGTACTCGGAGAAAACCCGCCCCAGCGCCACTTTGTCCGCCACAAATCCCACTTGACCAGACCCGGGCTCGAACCCCGGGCCGCCGCGATGGGAAGCCAGCGACTAACCGCTTGAGCTATGGCGCGGCCGTGTCTGGAATTAACTTGACTTTAAAATCAGTTCTTTGTTTCCTGTGATACTTTCTTCCACATAACAGGAAGACGACACCGCTTCAAATATTCCAGAATTTTTTTCCGGTTGCTGCGCAGTTCATGGTCACAGGCACACATAATTCTCACTATATTAGGCCTAAGGTAATTTACACAAAAAAAAATAATAATAATAATAAAGAAAAAAATCAGTATCAACAATTTGACTGTTTCCAGATTCTGTTGAATTAAAGTCTCTTAATCGCATCAAAGCTTATAGAATACATAAAAATTACATTTTTAGTGTTAATTACTTCGCATTTGATACAGATTTAGTTACTTTTAAAATTAAATTTAAATTTAAAATTTAGATTCATCTTAATTTACCCTGTTTATTTTTTATTTTTTGCTAATATAACACATTCAAATTATAGATTCAGTTTAACACAAACGCACAATCATTTTAAGTAATGTGACACTTCAGAAGAATTACTTCAGTTTGCTAGCAGAGCTAGCCAGGATGATTCTAGATTTTTCTTTCATTAACATGACAACTTAAAAGATAGACAACTGGTTACCATATCAGCAGGAGATATGTCTTTAGGCACAGCGATTCTCTTCCAGGACTGAATTTGAAACCGACCTCTCACCTATATTTTGTGCCGAGGTTAGAATACATGAAAATTCATGGTCCAGGGAAAACTTTGCGTTTTATTATATATAAATGAAGAACAGTAACACGTAAAGCCCATTTAACACACACAATCTCCATTGTTAGGACTGACATGAAATTCTTTTCTCGTCAGCAGGTTTTCCGCCTATATATTTACCACTAAAAACGCAGCAACGTCTCGCCAACATTGGGTTTGATAATGGCGGATTTCAAGTATTCACTTTTTTCTATGTGTACCTCCTTTTGCCTACCGTATCACAGTCTTTCATTACGTGGTGAGGGTGGTCATCAAAATTTCCGGGGGACAAAGACGCAACATAGACAAGTTTTCCAGCTTACAAATTACCACTGTGGTGTCCTTTTGCAACACTTCATATATTTTATAAGTTTATTATGCTTACGTATTCTCTTTCTGCGCTTAGTGAAGCAACAGGTAATTTAGGCTCTCACGAATGTTTTTAACTAACCATCGCCAGCAAATGGACATATGTACAGCGAATCGATAATTCGATAGATCGACACTCCCACGATACCGTATGTTCAAATACCCAAACAAGTGTAGTTCCCCGGTCAACCGACCAGATCACCAATGCCCGCGCATTGATGATATTTTCAATCTTAAACATGGCGATGCTCACTGTTTATCGTCACATTTGGCAACTTTTAAAATAAAATTAAATTGTGGGCCCTACAATGAAGGGCAAAGCAAATCTAAGACGTACCATAGAACTTAACGTAGATTAATATAGCCACGTTCGACTAACCCCAACTCTCCCATTAGCAACAGGCAGTGTTTTCGGGAATGTAACTCTCGTAGTTGGCGAGGTACTGCTACATTATCGTGCTTCATTACACCTCAGATACGAAAGTGACATATTTATTACGAACATTTTGATTTAAAATCTGGTAATATATATATAAATAATTTTAAAATCTTGGTGCTTCATAGAACTGGTTCTAGATTAACTTGCCTTTAAATTCCATTCTTCCTAAAAATGCAACTGAGCAATTTTTCCTCCACATAATACGCAAGGCATTGCTACCTGAACGCCGTGTAACCATTCTCTCACTCCATACTGCTCGACCGATACTAAACGAAGGGCAGCGCAGTGGTCGTTATTTGTCCGTGCATCCTCCTGTGGCGCATGCGCAGAAGCAAACTCGAAAGGATGGGTAAGGAAATACCGGTGGGGGTTAAAGGAAATCTTGCGGAAATTATACCGTGTAACCAATCATTATAAAGTAAAAGCATAATATCAGAGAAACCATTGGGTTGTTCTTGTGCTAGACATGGAGCCAGGGAAATTTTCCAAGATTTCGAAACAGTGATTCCTGAGTGCGAATAACGAGGTGATAAACCCCCTCCCCCACTTCCTTATCATTT